CACCGAGCAGACCCGGACGCAACAGACCTTCGTGGACGCAGCGTTACTCGAAGCCGTCGCTGGTGGCTTCCACAGCCTCACGCAATTGGTGCTAGAGGCAAGAGCCGACCCGAATCAACGCAACGACCAAGGCCGGACGCCCTTCAACGTCGCTTGCCACAATAACGACGAAAAAATGGCAACCACCCTGCTGATGGCGCGCTCGGACGTGCACACCCGACACGAGCCCCGCAACGAGTACGACTACGAGACAACCGCTCTCTGCGCATGCGCCAGCACCAACTGCATTTCCGGCATTAAACTCCTGCTCGGCTCATCGGTCCACGTAGACGGCCAGTTGAATGCCACGGCGCTCTGGTACGCAGCTTGGCACGGGAGAACCGAAGCCGTGGAGTTCCTGCTCGAACAGAGAGCTGACACCGAGAAGCATGCCTTGCACGGGGGAACGGCTCTTTGCGCAGCAGCTTTCCAGGGTCACGACTCGATCCTCCGCAAGCTCATTGCGAACCTCTGCGACGTGGAATCAGAAGCAGCTGTGCGACTCTTTCAAGAACCGCTACAACTTGCGATGTGGAGCGACAACCCCGACACCGTCAAACTCTTGCTCGATGCGAAGGCGAACGCGACTGGCGTGAAGAACAACACATCCGTCGGTAGAATGCACCAGCTACAGCTATACCAGTCGACTGTAGAGGTGCGGACACCCACCCTGGACAGACTCCGTCTTTACCAGTATCTGCAAGAACGCCAAACACAAGCGCAGGCTGCAACTGCAAGCAGAAATCTCTCAGGCCAGGAACAGGAACCATAGGCCGGTCTCTCTTTCTAGCCTCTCCAAGCCCGAATCCGGAGCCTAACGATCCCGTCGCAGCACCTAAAGCATCAAAAAGAAAACACAAACAAATCTGCGGGAGAAACAAGTGCACGAGACCAAGCATGCCAACCTTCCTTTTGGTTGTACTTGGGCTCGAGCTACGTCCACGACTTCCATGCACTCCATTCCTACTTCCAGGTAAAGCACTGGAAGAGTAATAGCAAATCAACCATGCAGATCGATGTCGCTTCATTGCCATGCAAAAAAAGAAGTCAGAGGCCCGACCGACACGAACGCCAACCCACACAACGAGGACTGTCATAACACGCGCACGTCGAGTCAGCAACACCCCCTCGAGGGATCTTGCGGAGACGACGGCGACATTGCCAAGCTGTGCAAAAATTTCGGTTGACGCGAGAAGCGACACTGCAGCAGAGCAGCAGAACCAACACCCCAAGTGACACTCGAGCCATGCAATCCCGAGGCCGGAAAATCAGGAAGACAAGACACGACGGGAGAAAGCAGACACAGGCCCAAACCGAACAGAACCCGATCCCACAGCTGCGCACAAAACGAAACAACAAAAACACAGCAAAGCAGTGACCAAAACGCGAAAGTAGACGCTCCCAACAAGAAAACCACCGCCATTGCTGCAGGAGTTGTGAAACACCGCCCCGACCACCACCGTCCAGACTGCCCGCCAACGCCTGTACAGCACGAGAGCAACAAGTGCAGGCCCGCAATCAAAAACGAACCCGAGCGACGCCGATGTCACGCACGTCAACAAAAAAAGAGCAAGCCAGCCAAATGCAACCGACCCGCCCCGAGCAGCAAACATGCACAGGACCAAGCGCAGCCAGAAACATCACGACACACATGTCCAACATCACGTCAGCCGCAACAGTATCAATGGCCCGAGCCCCACGAACTCCGGTTCGTACTACTATCAGGTCGCACAACCACCGCCCCCGCCAGAGAGCCAAAATGAAACGACCGAGCACCCAGAAGATCGAAACCATCCAAGTACATGTCTACTCCACCGCAGGCAACCTCGTAGCCGACCTCCACCTAGACGAAGCCATAACCGTGCGACAGCTCAAAACCAGACTAGCTCCAGACCTGGGAGTCTGCCGATTCCGACAGAAAATCCTCCAGGACACACGCCTCCTCGAGGACCAGGACAAGATCCGAAAATCCTCCCGCCTGCAGGTCGTGCTATTGAACTACATCCCCACTTCCACGGAAAACATCCGTCAGCTCATTGATGCCAGCTTCGAAGATTCCGAATCCGAAGTGGAAGAACTCCTGTGCAAACCACAGGACGTCAACGCGTCCATGCCCGGCGGAACCAAAGTCGACACCGCAAACGGCGCAATCACCGCTCTCCAAGCAGCCGCAAGTGCAGATAACACGGACATCCTGGAACTCCTCTTCCAAGCCCATGCAGACGTGAACCGCCACGGCAACGATCGGGCACTCTGGCACGCAGCAACGCAAGACGCACAGGAAGCCGCACGCATGTTGCTGCAACACCAAGCAGACCCGGACGCAACAGACCGTCGTGGACGCAGCGCCCTACTCGAAGCAGTTGCTGGCGGCTACCACACCCTCACACAAATGGTGCTAGAGGCAAGAGCCGACCCGAATCAGTGCAACGTCCAAGGCCGGACACCCTTCAGCATCGCCTGCCAAAATAACGACGAAGAAATTGCAAGCACCCTTCTGCTAGCGCGCTCGGACGTGCACACCCGGCACGCGCCCCGCAACGAGTACGACTACGAGACAACCGCTCTCTGTGCATCCGCCAGCGCCAACTGCATTTCCGGCCTTAAACTTTTGCTCAGCTCATCAGTCCACGTAGACAGCCAGTTAGAGGCCACGGCGCTCTGGCACGCAGCTTGGCACGGGAGAACCGAAGCTGTAGAATTCCTGCTGGAACAGAAAGCCAACATCGAGAAACATGCCTTACACGGGGGAACGGCTCTTTGTGCAGCAGCCTTCAAGGGTCACGACTCGATCCTCCACAGGCTCCTTTCAAACCTCTGCGAGCTCCAATCAGAAGCAGCTGTGCGACTCCTTCCGGAACCGCTGCAACTGGCAATGTGGAGCGACAACCCCGACACAGTGAAGCTCTTGCTCGATGCGAGGGCAAACGCAAGCGGCGTCAGGAGCAACGCATCTCGCGAGAGAATCCACCAGCTAGATGAATATCCGTGGGCCTTGGAGATGCTGATGCCCGCCCTGGAAACACTCCATCTCTACCAATATCTCCACGAACGCCAAGCACAGACGCAGGCTGCAACTGCAAGCAAAGATCTCTCAGAGCAACAACAGGAACCATAAGCCGGTCTTTCGCGCAAGCCTCTCAAAGCCCAATGCCGGACCCCGTCGGTCCCCTCGCAGCACCTAAAGCAGCAACCAAAAGGCACAAACAAAATCTGCGCGAATAACAGCTGCACAAGCCAAAGCATAACAACCTTCCTGGCAGATAAACTTGGGCTCAAGCTAGGTGCTCGACTACCATCCACGCCATTTCCATTTCCAGGCAGCACTAGACGAGCAACAGCCACTCAATCTTAACTCGCTATAAGCCATGTCGCTTCATTGTCGTGCAGACAAGTCAGCGGTCCAACCAGCAACAGCGCCGACACGAACAACAAGAGCTGCTACTACACATGAACATCGACATACCCGCCAACGGCGACGTACTGGAACACAAAACAACCCCGATACAAGAAACCTCACTCACAGACAGCAAGCAGGCATCAACTCCGACGACCACTGCATAAGCACGACCACGGCACTGAAACCGTCCACAACACCAATCCCCATTCAGCCGAATCAGCCAAAACAAGCACCAAACCGACCGCCACCATCATTCCATACGAGAGCTCCCGTCCCCTGCACAGAGTGGCAAGGCAGGGGCTCCCCTTCAGAACACATACTCTCCTGGGAACCACACACGCCGTCTCGCGCGACAACTCTTCACGGACAGCGTGCACTCATGACTAATGGCATCTCCGACGACGATTCCAACGAGGTCGCCAAAATATACGCCAACGGAAGAACCGAATCTTGAAGCAAAGAGCACCGACATGAACAAGCATATATACATACATACAGACATACATACATACATACATAGATACATAGATACATAGATACATACATACGTACATACATACATACATACATAGATACATACATACATACATACAGACATACACACATACATACATACACACATACATACAGACAGACATACATACATACATAAATACATACATACATACATACATACATATATACATACATACATACATAGATAGATACATACATAGCATACATACATACATACATACATACATACATGCCTGCATACATACAAACATATACATACATACACCTACACCCTCCCGATGCGCACAAAAAAACCAACCCTAAGCTCCAGCCGACTGCGCTGCAAAACATCTACAAAACGACAACGCTGCAAGCCGAACACCAACTCCGCCGGCGACAGACGATCAAGTGGAACCAGCATTAAACATGACTTCGATCAAGAGGCAATGCATGCATGATCAATGAACACCACAGATGCACATAATCAACACACGCGTACAGAAACACAGGAGCCATGGCATTCAACGACGATCCAGAAACCGTTTCCCTGTCTTCACTCCAAGCCGACAACATCCTCCACGACACACTGAGACATAAAAAAGGAGACGCATCCATGGCGAACATGTGCAGCGCCGGTGCAAGGACACTAAAGCCACGCACATACAGCAGCCAGCACATCCACCAGATGAAACGGATCACCTCCAACACATCAACCCACACGAAAAGGACCAGCACCTCACCTTTGACACATCCAGCCACAAGTACTTCTGGAAAGGTACCCCAGTACCTACATCAGTCACCCAATTAATACACCAATTTACAGAGCTTTTCCAACCGCAGCGCACCATCGACACCATGCGATCCAGCACCAGGTGGCCCCGCCCGGACTATGTCGATCTACACGCACTGCAGACAATAAACCAAGCGGACTTGTCGCTCCTTCCAGAAGACGCCACACAACCTTAAGCACCTGCTTCAGCAGCCCGCAACACATCTGGACCAGATCTGCCTTCATTTAAGTCGCTTGCGACACGAACACCCAGAACTCGACGCCTTTTGTCAGCGAATGACCTTGGACGACGAGGCCATCAAACGCAAGTGGAACACCAAGGCAAGAGAAACGTCCGAAGCAGGCACTGAGATGCACGCACACTTCGAACAGCTTCTCAACGGCGGAATCGTCGCGCAGCTGACGCCGGAAATCCAACTGCTGGTGCGCTTCTTGGACCACATAAACAATACGAAAACATATCGAACCGAATGGAAGATCTACAGCGAAAAACATGCACTCGCGGGCACCATAGACTTCGTTGCGGAACATCCCAACGGCGACAAGATCATCATCGACTGGAAACGAACCAGCCAACTCAAACACAAACACCGGAACTACGGCAAACAGATGCTGCCGCCCATTCAACACATGCCGGACTGCCCCGTCTCACACTACCGACTCCAGCTCAACCTGTACCGGCACATTCTCGCAACAGAATACGGACAGACTGTCCGCGAAATGTACATCGTCGGCACTCACCCGGACAACGGCGAGAAACCATGGATCGACGTCGTGCCCACGCTTGAAGAGGAAACCCTTCAAATCCTACAACAAAGAAAAGACTGCACAGTCCTCAACCATGCGCACACAACAATGGCCGAGACCTCCAACGTAGCACACGAAGAACCGCCACAAGACATCTGACCGTCACCCCTGCTCCATCCGCACTGCCAACAAAAAGAACAACAACGACCACGACATCGACAACAGTCCACCAGCACACGTATGCAACCCACGGAACGTAATGCACTATTTAAAGAGACAACAAAAGCCGCGTGTGATGCGCCAAACCGAAACAACAAAAAGGGAGGCCGAAGAGAACGCAGCTTGACTCCTAGCACCGCAAGTGCACGCAGGCGTGAACCAATCAGAAGAACCACTCCCTCCGTCGCCACGAAGAGTCGACAGCACATCACAACGCAAACCAAAAGAACTCCACAAGAACCTAACTAATCAGCAACCGCAGCCATGGCACCCAAGCGTCGAAACCTTCCCTGGAACCAGACTCGCAACTCAGTACAGGAGATCATTGCGCACCTCGACAAAACGTGTCTTTGTGAGGTCCGTCACGAGGCCAATAGCACGAGGACTCATCACGTTCTCGTTGCAGCAACACACTAAGGAGCGGCTCTGAAGAAGAAGCTCCCACCTCAGCTCGCGGCGACTGCAGTCCGCCACCGATCATCGGCTCCCGGCCCTTCGTCTCCGACAAGAGATCAACGGACCGCCCCACAACGAACACCAGAAAACGCCAGAAGACTCACACGTCGGCGTCCTCACGTCCAGCGCCAGCACACGCGTCTGCGGAAGAGGTGCGCAACACCGCAGTTAACATGGAGACTGACGACACGCAGAGGGGCCGGAAACACGACAAACCCAGGCCAAAATGGGACCAAGACACAAGACTGGCCAAGGGATTCGGCAGACGAGGGCCCGTGCCCGACATCGCGCAGCGAGCGGCACGAGAATCTAAAGCAGAGAAAGCCAGAGGCGAACGAATCGAGCTCGGTGCAAACCGACGCGGACCACTCCCCAAAAACACACGACAAACCGAATGCAGCCAAGAAGCACGAGCCAGCTACGGATACGGCACGCGCGGCCAGAAGCCCGAGCAAATCACTTGAGTAAGTACGTAAGACAACAGATTGTCATCAACGCAGCTCCCAAAGAAAAACAGCCTGCCATGAGGTCCAGTCCCAGCCCTGAACCGGCCCACTCGCCAAGCGCAACACACTGAAGAAGAAAGATCCAGCAGGGGCTACGGCAAGCGCGGCCCGAAACTCAGGACGAGCAGTCAAACGGCTAATTGTCAACGCAGCCGCCCATGCAACGCAGCCCGCCGCCATCAGGTCCGGCACCAACTGCACCATATGTACCGAAATGTACGCAAGAGGAAAGATCCAGCAAAGGCTACGGCAAGCGCGGCCCGAAACTCAGGACAAGCAAGCTAGGACGAGCACTCAAACGGCTAACTGTCAACGCAGCCGCCCATGCAACGCAGCCCGCCGCCATCAGGTCCGGAACCACAGCTGCAAACTATAACCGCGCCATATGTACCGAAATGTACGCAAGAGGAAAGATCCAGCAAAGGCTACGGCAAGCGCGGCCCGAAACTCGGACAAGCAAGCTAGGACGAGCACTCAAACGGCTAATTGTCAACGCAGCCGCCCATGCAACGCAGCCCGCCGCCATCAGGTCCGGCACCAACTGCACCATATGTACCGAAATGTACGCAAGAGGAAAGATCCAGCAAAGGCTACGGCAAGCGCGGCCCGAAACTCAGGACAAGCAAGCTAGGACGAGCACGCAAACGGCTAATTGTCAACGCAGCCGCCCATGCAACGCAGCCCGCCGCCATCAGGTCCGGAACCACAGCTGCAAACTATAACCGCGCCATATGTACCGAAATGTACCGAAGAGGAAAGATCCAGCAAAGGCTACGGCAAGCGCGGCCCGAAACTCGGACAAGCAAGCTAGGACGAGCACTCAAACGGCTAATTGTCAACGCAGCCGCCCATGCAACGCAGCCCGCCGCCATCAGGTCCGGAACCAACTGCGCCATATGTAGCGAAATGTACGCAAGAGGAAAGATCCAGCAAAGGCTACGGCAAGCGCGGCTCGAAACTCGGACAAGCAAGCTAGGACGAGCACGCAAACGGCTAATTGTCAACGCAGCCGCCCATGCAACGCAGCCCGCCGCCATCAGGTCCGGAACCACAGCTGCAAACTAGAACCGCGCCATATGTACCGAAATGTACAGAGGATGAAAGATGCAGCAAAGGATACGGCAAACGCGGCCGGGAGCCCTAGCGAACGAGAAGGAACAATTGTAAGACAGCTAGTGGTCACATGGTGCGGTTTCAGTCAGCAACAACAGCCAAGGTCCGCTGCCACTGGATAACAACCCGCCGGTCAAACCAAACACACCTGCCGTGGAGCAAATGAACGACACGAGCATGAAGAATGCAATCAGACGCCTCCCGAGAGGACAGCTCGAAACGGGCATACTGCTAAACGAAGACTTTCAGAACTGCGCACTCCGCAGCCGCCTAAAATTCCGCCAGCGAGTCTACAGCAGCCCCAGAGGCATCATCAGCAAATGGCGACGCTACGGCCTTTCCGAAGTCTGCCCGAAGTGCCACATGCTCACCCCTCTCCGGTACATGCGCAAGTCCCGAGCGGACTCGACCCCCAGCATGCAGACAGCCCTTTGCAAAAAATGTCGCGAAAACACCTCGGCAATCCTCCCAGAAGTGCCGCGACAATCCAAAGTTCTGCAGCAACTCAACTACATGGAACAACGACTGCTTGCAATCGCGCAAGTCTCCCAGTTTCTCATCGACATGCCGTCCGGCGGACCCCGTGGACAATGGGGTCGCATGTACATCACACCTCTAAAACAACCCCGCCTGTCCAGCGTCCTCGAAAACTGTCGACTGGACAGACACGGGAACGTTTACGTACACTCCCCGAGCGGAGAGTTCACAAGCCACGCCAGAGTCAAGTACCTCTACCGAGCGCTTGAGCAATTGCACAGGGACCATAGACTCTACAAAGCACCCGAAATACACACCGCCCTACAACGCCTCCAGCAGAAGTACCAGTACACGCGCACCAGCCACAAGCGAAAGAAACTCGAGCTCCGGCGGCAGAGCCGAAACACCGCCGCGAACGGAGCAACACACGACACACCAAAGAACGAGATGACTAGGAGCGCCCACATCCACCTTTCCTCAAGCGAGAGCGACGCAGAAGCCGACAGAAACAGAAGCGAAAGCCATGCCAGGCCAGTGAACCCGGAACAGGACAACAACGACCAGGGCGCACCCAGCATCGCGAACATCGAGTACACGTTCCCAGAAGCACCGACGGCACCTTTTGCCGACACCCACGACTTGGGGCAACACAAACTAATGGCAAACCTCATGACCGATGCCGACGTCAAAGTGTTTCCGCACCTCTTCCCCACCGGCGAGTACGGCTACAACCCAGACATGAAATACGCGGACTACACGCGCCAGCGTCTGCTCGGCGCGGACCCGCGCTTCGAAAACTGTCCGGACTACATCTACTTCTTGCTCGAGACGTGGCTCAAAAAACGAATCAGCAGCAACACCAGCGTACGCATCGCTCAGCAGAAGCCAAGCGCTGCTGCACAACCCACAGAAGCACTTCGTAGGCAGGTCTACACGACGCTCCGCGATGTTCCCGGCACGCAGCCGTACGTCTTCGCAAAGAAGGGAGTCGCCCTCAGCATGTTCGAACAACTGGGCGCGCCGCAGTGGTTCCTGACACTCACGTGCCACGCCAGGCAAGGGCACATCCTCGTCGCGTGCATATACGCAAAGCTGTTGAGAGCCGAACACCTACATAAGCAGCCCTTAGACACAAAATCGAGACGAACCCTAGCGGCCTGGATCTACGCAAAGTACATGGAGGACCCCAACCACAAGTGGCATGCAGACGCAAGCCCCAGCCAACACGCGAAAGACATGCCGAAGCCCGGAACCACAGAAACAGCATCTGACACGAGCGCAAGGCCAGCTCGCAAGAGAAGCAAGGAGCAAGACGACGAAGAAGAGACAAGAGCCTACACCGCCAACGAGCTCTGCAACAGCATGCCGGCCATCGTCGCCAGACAGTTCTTCCAACACGTCAAGCGCTTCCTGCGATGGCTCGGCCCAGCGTCACCCGAAGCCACAGAAGACACCGACACCGACGAAGCAGAATCCGAGAAGGACGACCACGGGTCAAGCCACAGCTCCGAGAAGGAGGACTCCGACGAAGCCGCCGCCCCCAGAACCCAAGAGGACACACGCCAAACAAGGAGCCGGCCGCAACGCCACAAGTGGGCACCGCCCTTCCACGTGCAGGACTACGTGGTAAGGGTGGAATGGCAGAAAAGAGGTTACCCTCACGTGCACATACTCCTCTGGACACGAGAAAAGGTCCAGCCCAGCCTTCCGCCGACAGAGCTCTCAGCAGACGACGCGGAGCACCTCACCGACGACGAGGTCGCACGCAAGATCCAGCCACGCACCGTAGAAGACCTCACGGACAAGTTCATCTGCACCACGACCCCGGAACGCTGGAAAAACGTGCACCTGCGACGCAGGCCGGACCGAGCCGACTACAAGTGCCTCAGCAGCCTGGCAAGCCTCCAAGCGCACCACTGCAACCAGTACTGCCGACGACATGCAGGCAACCGCCAGTACTGCAGATTCGGCTATCCTCATGCACCGGAGCCGAGAGCACGAACACGCACCGCCAAGGAGCAGTGGACTCGACGCGTGAAACCCAGCATCGCCGTCCGACGGCATCCGGGCACGAAGCAACAACCCGACCCCCTCAACGGCACCGGAACACTCATGGGACAGTACAACAAAAACATACTCCTGGAATGGCAAAGCAGCACAGACCTGCAGCCCATATGCGAACGCAGCATGGCCTCGCGCTACATTCTCGGCTACACCTTCAAATCCGAAGAAGACCACGTCGCCGCCAGAAGAGTCGAGCGCCTCCTGGAACAGTTCACCCAGAAAGAAGGGCCCTTCCATCAGACGACCTACAGAATTGCACACGCCGCAACACAGGCCCGAACAGCTTCCACCTTCGAGGCCTGCCACCTCTTGCTGGGCTACACC